TTCCCCAGCGCTTCCAGCGTGTGGTTTTACGCCCGAACCCGTCAAATCCGTCTCATGAAGTCATTGTTCAACAGCCCTCCGAGCTGGTCCGCACAGCTGGAACAGTTCCTGCCAACCCTTTGGGATCTGCTAAGGGCAAGAGCAATTCATTCCGGTACGACCGTATCCTGCCTGAAGAATGTACACAAGTCGAAGCGTATGAGGTTTCCGCCAAGCCCGCAATTGACAAGTTTTTGAAGGGATTCAACGTGACTATCCTTGCGTAAGTCCTAACCTACTCTTAGACGCAAAACCTTGTCTGATTCTTGTATCTTTCGCGTCACAGATATGGCCAAACGAGCAGCGGGAAATCCTATACGATGGGAACGACCGGATCAAACATTGATTACAGTACAGGCGGCGATCTTCAAACCGGTATTATCCCTCGAGCAGTCAAAGATATGTTTGAAAAGCTCGAGCAGGACCGGACGCAAGCTGCCGGTGGTCTCACTTGGGAATGCAAAGTCAGCTTCCTGGAGCTATACAACGAGGTCAGTATGATGTTTGCAATGTGGAGTACATGGAGAAGCATTGATCTTTCGAAGTTTGCCGACGGGATTTACAGGACTTGATTGATCTGTTGTCGAAATCGTCGCATAATCAAAGCTCGCCTGTCACCATCCGAGAAGATAAAGGCAAGATCTTGTGGTCCGGGCTGCGCGAAGTGAAAGTGACATCGACAGAAGAAGTCATGCGACTGCTGCATGAGGGTAGCACTCGACGACAGATCGGTGAAACGGGTATGAACAAGGAATCCAGTCGATCTCATGCTGTCTTCAGTCTGTCTCTTGTACAGAGGAAGCGTTCCGATAATGGAGCTAGAACAAAGAATTTCTCTCGACCAATATCGACTCCTGTATCAGCGTATAGTACCTTGTCTCGGGGTGGCACACCAACCAGCACCCGACCGGGAAGCAGAACATCCATGATGCCTCCACCGACGTCAGCCATCCGTCAGTTTGCCACTTCGCCCTCGACCCCCGGCCGCGGAAATCCTGATGAAGATACGGGATCGATTGGATGGGTAGAGGTTATCAGCAAGTTTCATTTCGTGGATCTGGCGGGAAGTGAGCGATTAAAACGGACTGCTGCACTTGGAGATAGAATGAAAGAAGGAATCTCGATCAATGCCGGTCTCACCGCTCTCGGAAACGTCATCTCGGCGTTAGCGGAACCGGCGTCAAAGCATGCTCATATACCCTATCGAGATTCAAAGCTCACCCGATTGCTCCAAGACTCTTTAGGCGGAAATTCATATACGATCATGATCGCTTGTGTTTCGCCGATAGAGTACAACTTGAACGAAACTATCAACACATTACGTTATGGTTCGCGCGCAAGGAACATCAAGAACCGAGCTGAGGCTAATCAAGTGGAAGTAGGGTGGGATGATCTCGTTCATTTGCAAGGGGTCATTATAAAACTACGCAAGGAATTGGAGGTTCTGAAGCAGGCGAGCGAGAGGGAAGATCTCGCTGATCTCGATGGATCATCAGCTCGAGACGACCTCATAGAGCAGTCCCGTTCAAAGCTCTCTGCAGAACATGAATTAACAGAAACGTTACGGTCGCAAATTCAAATGCAGAATCTAGAAATCGCCAGGCTCATGAAACAAGTTCAGACGTACAAGCAGTGCAAGCCCGATGACAACGATACCGATGGGATGACGTTTTCACAGATGGTAGAACCCATAATTGACGAGTACGAAAGGACCATCATAAATCTGGAAGCGGAAATTGAACGACTCAAGGCCAGTCTCGTAGGTGTAACTCATCACACGAATCGGAAATCTACATATTTACCTTGTTTCCTCTTTTCAGCAAATATCCGAAACTCTCGCAGAAGAGCATGCCGAACAAATCACCCTGAAAAGCAAACGCCTTGAAGCTCAAGAGGCTTACATCCATGAGCTGAGGACGCGCATTACCAGCTATGCGCAGCGTGAGCGGGATCTCGAGGTATGATGAATCTCGTTTTCATCCGTCTGCGTCTGCTGATTTCTTCATATAGGAGAATATTCGCCAACTTGAAGTTCAGATACACACGAGTCCGGGCAAAAAAGGTGATCATAGCCCGCTCACGGTCGATCTACAAGAAAAGTTGGCGGAAAAGGAAGAAGCACTATCCCTCAACGCAAAGTATCTCGCTGAACTCGAAAGTCGACTAGAAACTGCGGATGATCGGATCGAGGACCTCACGCGCCAGGTTGAGGAGCTCGAGAAGGAGGCCAAGGAACGAGAACATGAGGGAGGCAAATCGGAAACCAAGATTCATCAATTGCAACAGTCTGACAAGTATCTGCATGGTAACACCGAGCGCTCCTCAAACCTCCACAGCGATTCGGACGACCCTGATGGAGAGCCGCTGGTTAAAGTCCCTGGCTCTCCAGCACTCAGCAGACACCCTTCAGAACAGGTGGCAACGCTTGTAGACGAAAGGCAACCGGCCGACTACGCATCGCTGAAGGGAGATCATGCAAAGACGCTCGCAGAATTGGCTGCCGTCAAGGTGCAGTATCAAGAGATACTGCAAATTCTAAATAAGATGACTGAAGAGACCGCGTCGACCGAAGAGATCGCGTCGACCGAAGAGGATCCTGCACCAAGAACGAAGAAGAAGAAGACTGAGACCGACTCTGATAGACTCGCGGAATCGGGCGAAAAAGTGACTGCATCTGAAAAGTTGGCAGAGGAGGACATGCAAGAACTTGGAAGCGCAAATGACGGAGGGGGAAAGGCATCCAAAGTGCAGGTCGCGCAGGATTTTCCAGCAGGGAGAGGCAACATAGAGGTTCCATCAACGAGGTATGTGACTCAGGGATGATTTCGGGGTAGAAGCCTTACAGAATATGCTACTACAGAATATACTCCTCCTCGGAGCAACGATCATCATCGCCATCATTTCGTTCCTCCTGGGGCAAAAGTGGTAGCCCCGCGTTCAAGGCTATTGCGAGAGCTCGCCTACGGCAATGCTCACCGACACCAGGCGAGACTTTGAGCAGCCAACTTACGGCTGAGGGGGAACACTCACGATTCTCGGAACCAGACGGCCACCTCTCCCGTCAACCAAATGCCGTCACGTCAACGATCAGGCTGCTCTCAGAGGACTGCAATCCGCCAATAGTCCAAGATAAAACAGTCGAGAATGGGATAAATGGGGCCGTGAGTTCTTTCGATCTGCAGAACGATGCGTCGTTTGAGCCATTCTACATTATCATACAGCGGTCTCACACGGAACACAATGCCCTTACGGACGAGACATACACCCCGAACAATGAACTGTCGAATAATTCTGACGAAAGTGCTCCTGGCCCAAGCTCGCAACAAATGGCGGTGACTTTGAGTCAGGCTACACTATGGGAGGCCATCCCGGAGCCGCTGAGTTCAAGTGCAGAATTTGGTCGTCCCATGAACATCAAGGAGTCCAACTGTCCTCTGCTTCCTAGCGACTCCGTCCTCGCTGGTCCTACTAGATCCACTGAGTTGCAACATTATGCGACGTCATCTGCTGTTGAACACATTTCACCTGATCATGGCGCATCAACATCGGAACATCTGCAACGACAAATCGAGCAGGTCGATGCGGAGATGCAAGAAGTAAGTCATCTGAAGGTTCTATTCGTTCTGCTTTCTAACAACAGTAGCTTTTCTAGAAAGTCGGCGAGATCCAATCACTCACGAAGAATCTGACGAACGCCGACCGTAATCGTAAGCCGGTGCCCATTGACACGCAACGAGAACAGCAGCTAAAGCACCATCGATAGTCCGGAAGATGCGGGCATCAGTTCAGGAAGCCCTTTCTGCGCGTGATAATGCACTGGTCAACAGTGACTTGCTACGGGGCGAAATGGCCCAAATGCAATCGGAAATTGATATACTCCGGCAGTCGTCGAACCACGAAACCGGATCTTTAGAGAGCCAACTATGGGAAGAAAGAAAGGCTAAGGAAAGGGCTCAAGCTCAGGTAGAGGAGTTGATGGCTGCAATGCAGAAGATGTCCAAGTTTCGAGTAAGTCTGTAGGATGAGGGCGGAAACCGGTCAGCGCCAAGAGTAGCTCTGAACGTCACATTTTCGCTGCAACAAGTAGTGCTTCTAATCGAAATTGAATACCATCGGACTAGTCACTTGTCGTCATTATGACTAGAACCTGGGGGACGCGGGGGGGGGGCACAGCCAATCTTTGTTCACCGTTGTTCCAGTAACGATAAAGTTTGCCATGATCCTGAAACACCATACGTCCAACATAGCTTAAGGCTCGAAATGTTCCGTGAATGTAGAATTAAGGATGCTAATGCGGCAAGCGGTCGTAAAGGCGCCTGAGAAGAATGTCAAGAGACCATGATATTAATGCTGGAGGTTTGGAACAAATAGCAATGTGCGATGACGTGTTGCAAGTACCGCAAATAAGACAGTTCCTCGCAAGCTTAGGCAGTTGCTCAAAGACCCACCCTTTTTGTCAAAGAGAACACCTGTTTCTCTATTTGAGGTATAAGTACTCTAGTAGTTGGCGCGGGCCTTGAGCGGATCAGGGTTTGATGTTGCGCTTAGCCTGTTGATTGAAATAATGGTACATCTAGCGTCTAAAGTTGTAGTTCGACATCGCCCGTTGTGCTCCATACCATTATTAAGGTGGAATACAAGACCCTCGGTTACAGTATCTCGATTCACAGTGTTGAAACCCAACGTTGAACTTTACCAATAAGAAAAAGAAAAACCAGGCAGCACGAGTTCCTACGAGAACTGATCGAAGTTGGACGTGGTCATGGTAGACATGTGTCTCGGCTTGTGCGCGATATATTTTTTGCCATCAAAGACTAGCATCTACCGCCCGTGTAGTGTACATGGTTATCACTGTATGTTCATATACTTCAGCATTTGTGGGAAGATTAGGATGGTTCTTCAGAGGGAGATTTTGTTCGATTTATGAATATGGATATGAAAGCAGATCCGGTTTCAACGGAGCCCCTGTAGTGTAGCGGTCATCACTGTGGATTCATAATCAATACGAGTTTCTAACTCGTGGTTATACCCGCCAACCCCAGTTCGATTCTGGGCAGAGGCAGCTCTTTTTGTGCAAAACACCGCCATGCGCGAACCGAACGACCGCGAGTGTTTACGAGTTCGGTTTGCGTTCCGGCATAAGCACAGCTTTTTTCGTCTTCCCTATGCTTTCTGAAGTTGTTTACTCCTCTTCCCTGCGTTTTGTGGCCAAAACGCCGGCTGGCAAACGAAAGCAACCGAACTATACCTTTTTTGCCATACGGTTCATAAAATCGGGACGGTCCACTCGGTCCAGCAGGGTTCGGCATACACCTCGTTCGGGATCCCAACGCGGAAGTCCTTCAAGGCATCCTTCTAATCTGTCATTTCCTCATGGTCGCCACCGTATCACGGCATCACGGCGGTGGAAGGCCGGGCTGTGTGCTTCCGGGTGGCGCTCTTTAAAAAGGTAAAGTGATTTGGTCGTGCTGGTGCGGATACTTCTGTCACCTCAGCATCATCGAGGTATCTATTGCAAAGTGCGATGTACAGCAACTTCCCAGGTGGGTGCACAGCCTTGCTCTGTCTGAAGGTCTAACAAAGGGCCTGGGTGCTCGAGTATAAACTTCACTGACGGTAGGCGATGAAAAGACACCCGTCAACAGGGGAATATCGGGGCTCTGAACACGCTTCGAAATCGCAATGCGCCTGAGTAGTTTTCAGGCCAATTGTGTCAAAGTCTCCTTCCAAGGCTATCCCCATGTGACATTCATTCCAGGGAACCCTTGCTACTGTTCCTCACCTGCGCCATTACCCACGATCGAACTGCACTCAGACATACCACGGAAATTGTCCGCCAAGACGATGGCTGAGTTAGGAATGAAAGAATGTTGGTATGATTATGGGGACTTGCAGAGTATAACTATGAAGTGTCTTTCGATACAGTAATGCTTGTAGGAGCGTTCCCATCGGCCACATGATATCCGATGAAAGCATCGCCTCTGGCGTCACCGGCGTCATGGAATCGTGCCGCCCAGAGCTTCGGGGGAAGACCCGAAAACGACTGGGCCCAGCGACGTTGACGCGGCAAGAGTCCGTATCGGAGGTGGAGTCGCTCTGCGCCCAGCTTCTGGCGATCCGGTTGAAGGAGCCCTTGAAAGGTTCACATGGAGATAGGCTTGGACGTCCCAACAGCTGATCATCTTCCGAGAATTGAGTCGCATATAGTTCGGTTACGCTAGCATCGCTGGGTTTACAAGCACGCAGCAGTGATCTGCATCATTCAAAGTTCACACGAAGCCCGATAGCCCCGCAAAATCTTTCCTTACCTAATAGCTACCCAACAGAACTGAGAGGACGGAAAAACATCCGGCTTGTAGCCAATCTTCTTCTCGCGCCGGCTTTTGAGGTATGTTCGAATTGACAATCCGAGTGCTGTACCGTTCTTCGCCAACTGCTTTGCCAATCAATCCCCCAGGCCACTCTCGCTGCAAGTGCTAAGGCGGAGGCTGTGGGAAAGCTAGGTGTAGCACTGCAGAGCATTGAACAATGATCGAATACAGGGACAGCGGAAGCAGCAGCACTGAAGGTTCGCCATATGACTTTGTGCTTACTCCTACCGTACTCGCAACCACAGGACCCGGGGTGAGAATGGCGACATTGAAAAGTCCTGCAGCTAATCAGCAATTCGTTACTATGATCTTCCAGTCTATCCTGTTGCCATATGCTAGCCACGTACGGGGTACAGCTTGATCGAACCCCTTTCTTCTGATACTGCCACAACCTGTCCTATCATCATGCTTATGCCGGGCGCTCCAGCTTGCCGTCCTGGATGATTTCCCTGCGAGGTACGTCCAACACCTGCCGCTCGCTGAAGCGCCGTCAACGCGGTAGACTGATCAATGAGAGTGAGTAAGAGCGCCGAAGACCCCAGAATTGAAAATCAGGGGAGACTCGACTGCGGCAGAGCTCTCGCCAGGTCAATATTAGTCTAAAAGAGATTCTCCGGCACGCAAGACATGCGCATTCCAGCGTGATCTAGAAAGAAAAAGAGGATCAGCGCAAGCTGGGTGGCGAGCGAGATGGACTATGGAGCGAAGGCAGCTATGAAATGTGCTATGAAGGCCAGAGAGGCCGAAAATATAGCAAAAGTGGAAAGTGGATCTCTCGCTCGTGATCTATTGGCTTTGCTATCTGTCGCTATTGGTAGATTTGGTCCTTTGCCTAATCTGGAGTTGCCCTTGGCAGTTGGCCAGGAGCTTCGACGGTTGATTTCCCGTTTCCCGGGAACGGGTTTGCTACCGCCAGTAGGAAGGGAGAAGTAAAATACAGAACATAAATCTCGTTATCTGAAATCTACCTCTTTGCAGATAGAGATATATGTATATGTCTCTTCACACATCTCGCACATCGCCTATCTGTATGACCCACTCTGCTGCGCACGCATGTTCCATCTCCTCGATTTCTTCTGCAAGGCTCTTACGCGCGACTGCTGACGGCGGCCCATTCATACTAGTGGAACACATCAAAGTTTCCTTTGCCCAGATGGTGTAAACGGCAGCATCCTGCAGATGGCCAGCAAATTCACTCTGGAAACGCAGTATAGGTTGCTGTGGTTTCCGTCCATAAAGAAGATGTAGATTGAGAGCCACTTTGGCGAGTTCAAGGCAGTGGAGGCCTGGCAGAAAGGCTGTTGGTAAGCTGACTCGAATTCAGAAAGTAGGTTACAAACTTACCAACTAGGGGAAACCTCCAGCCATAAAGTATACCATAGATGGCTAGTAAATGTTGCCCAGTCTCCTTTGCTACTGGCCAATTTTGGTCCTCAGCGGCCTCTCCGAAGATTGCGCTTAGCTCCTTGACGACGTCGGGACGAAGGCAAATCAACTTGTCTATCCCAACTTTCGACAAGCTCACTCGGCTTGGCAAGAGTTGACTGTTCTCTTTTGGAAACGGTTGCCCCGGTTTAAAAGCGCTAATCATCGAATACGGGCAGGTACGGCGGAGGGCATCGGCGTGTTTAAAGACGTATGTATTGAAGAGTTCTGTCAGTTTCTCTGGAGTAGCGGTACCCGCTTGCGCAAGGACTGAAGGAGGAATCGACTCCTGAAATTGGCAAAGTGTACAGTGACAGAGGAAGCCGTAGCGTTCCTGGAGAAAAGTTTGACGTTCTTGAAGAGGCAAGATTGCGTCGATATACGGAATCGTTAACTAGAACAGTCCTACCATCATGTCAGCGAATTTTTTGTCAGTGTAGAAAAACCGGTAGTAAATACCTCCTCCCCGGCTTTCAGCGGTCTCATGAGCTTCACCATCACCTCTACGGCTTTGCTCTCAGGATTCCATGAACTGCTAATCACGCCGTGAGGAAGACAAGCGTGGTTGCAGTAGCGTGATATCGACGGTCTGTTGAGAGAAGCCCCGTGTGTCAGTGCTCTAGTAAGGAGACAATGAAGGCAAGTGTACGATCACGACTTACAAGATGGCATGCCCTATGGGCTTTAACCGTTCATCTGACAAGACGTGATTGTTCGCTTGAAATCGTTCAAGCAAAAACTCGGTCTCCTTATGCGTCAACCCAGATTGTGCAATGAAAGCGAACTTGGAGTGCACAACATCGATGATTTTTCGGTCGGGCGGTTGAAGCGGCATGGGAACGAGCTGTAGAAACCCTTCCAGCTCGTCTGACAGCCGTGAAGCTGATTCTGCTGCAGCATCCGCCGTCAGTTGGACTTGTCGGATCTCCTGAAATGACCTCCCTGCACAAGTTTTTAGCCTCTCCACCGCTTGTCCTGTTCTGAAATATGTGCTGATCAATCTCAAGAGGAGGAAACATGCGTGTGACTGAGCTGTTGAGAAGTCGGAAGTTTTCAGAGTATAGTGTAGAGAAGGCAATGCCTTGCATATCGGAGCATGGTGCGAATCCCACGCAGAGCTTCGACCTGCGTATAGATCAGGCGATGGAGAAATTCAATAAAGAGGTCATTCATGTCATATAATAGGCACTTGGAAACATGAATTCAATTCCAGATAGCGGCGCAATACCTACAATCTCGACTGCAGTACCACTCCTCCCTACATTTCCCACAAATGACAGGCTCCGAAACTAGCTGCAGGCATTCACAGCAGCGTCGCTCGGCCTTAGTGCCGGGCTCCTCGTTAAAGAGGATCGGAATTTGGCAAAGGGGTCGCGATTTCAGCAAAGACGAGCCTGGCTGTATGATTTCGGTTGTAATCGCTCTGCTGTAAAACGGAGCCGGGGCGGCCCGTAGTTCGAGTCGATCCATGGGACGAGAGTCGTCAAGGGAGGCAGAGGGTATGCTTCGTTCACATCCATCCCATGTTCGCTACAGTCAGTACTCGTTGAAGAAGCCAAGACTCGAGTCGAGGACGGGCAGTCCACTTGTTCCCACTTACCTAAGCCGGCGGCCGGGCACTGCGTCATGTCTCCTCGATCGCAGCACGACATCCTGATTCACAATTCCCAATTGGTCCGATCTGGATGCTTTTGATAGATTCTACAGCACCGTATAAGCCAGCTCCTCCTGGTCATACGCAGCTACCAATCGTGCCTCATCCACAACAAACACCTAAAATGGCTGATACCTCTTACGACACCGCTGACGAAGCTTACGACTCACTCGGGGTGAGTCGCGGATCAACGTAGACACTCCGTAAACCGATACTAAGTTCCCCTTCACGCATCGCAGTCCTCCTTCGTGTCTTCCTTCTCGCTTCCTCCTCCTAGCCCCACAGAGCACAAACCCTCGAGAACAAGCCAAACGGACGCCTCCGACGTACCGCAACTCATAATACCTGCATCGGAAAACCAGAACAAGGATGCTCCAGATCCCATCGTAAACAACAAACCCGAGGAACCAACAAACACCGTCGCTGATGACCCATCAGCTGTCTCGAACCCCATTCCGACTGCGCAGGAACAGGCTAAAGCTGCCCCTCAAGAAGACTGGAAGGAACTGCTGGACCAGAACTTGACATCATGGCGAGCCGAATCCTCTGAAGCTCGTGCCAAGTCGGAAAGCACGAGGTTGAGACTTGAAGAGGAAAAGGTCAAGGAAGCTA